TTCTCCAGTGCTTTTGCCTGAGTAGAAAATAGTATTATTATCCTTGGTGTAGTTTCCAGACTTTGGCCATCGGACTTCTGAAAGGCCCAATACTTGTATGTCTAATCTCTCCATTTCTAACATGACTGTTGTTAATTTCACTGCTTCATAAAGTGTTCTTATATTCCACGTTGCTATGCGTTTTAAATCGCTTACACTAAATTTGTTTCTCCACCCGGGGATTCTTCGCACCCCTGTCCCATTAAAGGGACGCCGGGCACTCGGGGCCACTGTTTGATTTACGTCCATTTGTGGTTGTTCTTGAGAATCCTTAGGGATCTTTAATGCAGTGGTTTCTCCTTGCTTTCTGCATCCTTATGCCGTTGATCTTGGTTCATCCGCCTTTGTGATCGATTTCTCAATATCAGGACAAAAGAGTGCCCTTCCACTTACCAACTCATCCGCCCGAAGCCGTTGGTCAGTAAGTGGGGGTTTGCTTATACCGGCAAACATTCGGTGATTTCGCAGTGTCACAACCGGTTAAATCATAATTACCTATGATTATTCAGTATCAGACCGGTAAAGAGATTTTCTCTACCGCTCCGATCCTGTAATGACATAGCAGCTGCCCTATGCCATGCTCTCAGTTGATCCGCGGGTGTTTATTTGGCAGAGCCTTATTCACACCTGTCCCACATATCTGTAGGACGTTCCCTATCAGCCATTGGGACGCGCCGTGTTGAGGTTGAGAACTACCCCCCTCCGAGTGTGTTTTCCAAGAAGTACTGAAGAGCCCCTACTCAATTCAGAACTCCTCCTTCTTGGAAACTACACCGACAACTAGTATACCTCAAGAAAGAATATATGTCTGAAATTTGGATGAAAAATGCTTTAAGGTATGAACTTCTACTGTCTGTCATAAGTGAAACATGGTCTAATCAGATGTTTGGTTTTCCTAGTTAAAATATATTTTTTTTAAGTGGCATTTGATTCACTGTGTGTCCTTGTAAACAGTGAACCAGGCTATGGGTAAGAACCTGTCGACAGATGAATTATTGTCAAGCTGAGTCTAAATAATTGATTGGATACATTATATGAATATTATATGTTGACAAAATTCGTTAAATGGAGTAAAGATAACAAATCATCACTGCCATAAAAGAAAAACTATTCACCAATGCTCAAATCCACATGTTAGGTACGATATGTTGACGATACATGCTTCATCATGGCAGGGATGCTTAGGTGTCTTTTCAAACTCATCTGAATAGTGTACATCCTAGTATCCAATTCACGATGGAGGTTAAAACTGATTCATCGATACCGTTTCTCGAGGTTATCATAAATAAAAAAAAATCCAAGGTTTTCATCACACTGTTTATCGAAAACCCACGCATACCAATCGTTACTAGCATGCCAACTCTCATCATCCATATTCACAAATTAATTCAGTCATTAATACCCTTGTCTCCAGAACAATACGCCTTTGCGATGAGGCAAGTAGACCCGCTGAGCTCTCTAGTTTAAAACAAGCCCTCATCCAAAACTGTTACCTCGAAAATGAAATCAATAAGAACATCCAAAGACATCAATCTCCCAGTCAATCTCAACCCAAGGACTCAGACATTTATCATACGAAAGCTTTTCTTTCTTACATCAAGGGTGTCCCTGACAAAATCGACAATATTTTTAAATCAAGAGGAATAAAGACAATATTTACCCCTCAACAAAAATTTTCATCTCTTGTCCGATCAATCAAAGAAAACATTCCAAATGAATAACACGGAGTTTATGAAATTCATTGCGCACTGTCCCTGATCCTAGATAGGCCAAACAAACTGTAGAATTCAAAATAGGATTTATGAACATTCCTTTTGTTCCGATTCAATTTCAGCTCTAGGTCAACACCATCTTCATACAGGTCACAGAATTGATTTTGAAAACTCCTGAACCATAGCTTTCTATAAACCAAGAATTATCCGAGAATCCATATAAACTGAAAAAAGGCCAAATTGTCTCAATAAAACAGATGACGACAGTTATCTTCGATATGAAGACCTCTCATAAAGAAAAGATCGTCCGCTCCACCCGGCCATCAAAACCCTACTGTCAAAAATGTTCGCGTCAACCCACATCCAAACCATATCACTATCGACGGTATACATAAAGCATCCTCTGATTTCAGTAGCAGTAATGCATAGGTGTATGCAACCCTAAAGAAAATCAAAGAGGATGTCGAAAACTTGGCGCAATCCGGAAATCTTTATATTTTTTATATAAAAAAATCAGAAATAGAATAATAATCATATAGAAAACTTGTATGAAGCTTCATGCTAATTTACAGTACCGCCTACTGTACCACTTTTTTTATAATCACTTGAAAACGACGGGATCACGTTGGCCACAGAATAATAAACAATCAGAATACCCACTCTGCTTGTCAATATAAGTACGCGCAGACAGAATCAGCCATGTTTTAGTCGGAACCAGTGCTATTCAGTGACATTTTATCTGGTAAGCATAGAAAAATTAATCCGGTTTAATTTATTTATGGCAACCATAGACATAATATGCACTATTATATTTATACTTTTATTAGAATATATTAAATTATTTCAAATTTACTAAATTATTAATCTCTAAAAATTTAAATTACAGTTCTGTCATAGCATTTCCGTTTAAAATATGGAGATTGCGTGTTGACACACATCAAAAGCGGCATCTGAGAGTGGGTATTCTGATTGCTATTTATTCTTTGCTTTGGCTAATTTCCATTTTAAAATATTTGTTGAAATCCAAGGAAGGTTTAAAAGGTGAAACAATATGATAAAATTATAAATAAAATAGTAGAAACAACAGTTTTATTTTTCCATAAAAACAGTTACATTAAGGTCTTATACAAAGTATTTATACGACTCTACCTCTCGGTAGTAGTTTGTTTAATCTACTGTTACGATAAATATGCCTCGTAAATATTTTAATTCTTATATGTTCTAGATTTTACCTGGTAGAAATTGCAAGTAATACCCTACCTGACACGATGGGTCCCTCTCCGATATAAAAACAACAACCGAACCTTCTGGAGACAGGCCGATGTAAAATAACCAGTTCGAGACCATTCGCCGCTCTGTCTAGCCGAGAAGGCCATCGAACCTTCGAAAGTGTTCCATTTAAACAGACGTTTTCATATAAATAACGGAGCTTTCATTGTGGGATCAGTAAGAAGATTATTTAGCGCGCCATTATTTATTAAAATAAATTATGTAGTTATTATTGTAAGATAAATTAGTATAAATAAATTAAGTTGTAAGTGTTATAAATGTAGAACCTTTGATAAATAATAAACACAATAAATTAGAATGAATAGACTTAACATTGGTGTCAAAAGTGGAGTAGTAAATAGTGAAAATGACGACCATTTACGAGCGCACAGTTACGGATTTAAGAAGACATCTCGAGGATAGAGAGTTAGCTTCTACCGGAAAAGAGTTAGTCCAACGACTAAAGAACGCTTTAGAGGAAGAGGGTTTAGACCCGGAAACATATATTTGAAGATGCTGTCATCTCGTCGATTTCGAAATTAGAGAACAAAGTTTCCGGCGACATCGCATCATAGAACAACGTTTCTGACGATATCTCGAAAGTTTCCGGCGACATCGCTTCTTTAGAAAGCAAAGTATCTAACGAGATTTCTTCTCTGGAAAGCAAAGTTTCTGCTAACATCTCTAAAGTCACTTCTGAGATGTATGCCCTCGACGATAGAGTGTCTTCGTTAAAAAACCAAGTTGCTGCCGATATGTTGGCCTTCGAAGAAAAGATGGAAAGGAAGATTGAGGGAACAGGAATAGCAGAAAGAGTAAACAATCCAATTACACTAGAGACAAAAGAAGACGAGACGAAATGTAAGTTGGAAACACGGCTGAAATTTGAAGGAAGTGGAGGTTCTGTTCATGTCAAAGTCCCAACTTTCGACGGAAAATCGTCATGGAACAACTACATGAAACAGTTCGAATCAGCTGCAAGAGCGAATGGATAATCTGAAAAAGAAAAGGCTGTAAACCTGACTATCGCTCTTCGAGAAGATGTTCTTAGATGTGCTCCAGACCAAAGCCGTAGAGGAGAAGGACAATTTCGAACAACTCAAGAAAAGGTTAAATATGCGATATGGCCACGAACACTTAGAGCATGCATATCAGTCGCAGCTTCAAAATCGAAGACAAAAGAAAGATGAGGCTCTTCAAGAATATGAGGTAGATATTGCCAGATTAGTACGATATGCTTATCCAACAGCTCCCGAAGACATGATGGAAAAGTTGGGCGTTCAAACGTTTATTGATGGTCTTCGTGATCATGAAATGCAGAGAACACACTACGATTAGCTGGTTGATGTCCGATGATGGTTGATTGCAGAAACATTTGACCGAATTACAAAATAATTTATTTTACCACTTAGCAACACTTGCTTTAAAGATAGCAAATTACTTAAATCGTCATTTTCGTAATAATTCACTTTTGTGACATCAGAATTCCAGTAATATTCACGTGGTCCACCAATAAAATATTTGTATTTTATATTTATAAAATATTTATTGGTGGACCATGTACAAAAAGAACAGAGGAACTGCTCCATATGGGCAGAAAAAAATGAGAACAGAACAGGAATGTTGACCGGGCACGCACCAGTATGAGAATTCCTGAATAAAATAGTCATCTATGTATCAATATAATGCAATAAGAAACCAGAAACTGTAAAATATGTCTTATATAATTGTGGGGCTCTGGAATGCAAAAGACAATAACTATATTGAGCAACCAAGAGGAGTCCCTGTTATGTGTAGGACACAGATTGCAAAAGATCTGTATCAACTTGAACAGGGTACAACAATTCTAAACAGAGAGTAAGAAATAACAATGGACAGCAAATACAATAGCTTCAGTTTTAGTGATAACGCAGATCTTTTGGATCAAAACTGTTCAAAGAAACACTTTTTAAAACAAATTTAATGCTTGTGAACTTTTTCTCAAGTGTGTGTTCTCACATGTTTTTTCAACTGACTTGTTGTAATAAACTGCTTTAAACAAATGTCACACTTATGAGGTTTTTCTCCACTGTGGATTCTTAAATGTGTTTTTAAATTACTTCCATCAGTAAACTGCTTAAAACAAATTTCACATTTGTGAGGTTTTTCTCCAGTGTGCGTTCTCAAATGTTTTTTTAACTGACTTGTTGTAATAAACTGCTTTAGACAAATTTCACATGTGTGAGGTTTTTCTAAACTGTGTATTACCGAATGGATTTTTAACTGACTTGTTGTAGTAAACATCTTTGAACAAATTTCACACTTGTGAGGTTTTTCTCCAGTGTGCGTTCTTAGATGTGTTTTTAAATTACTTGTATCAGTAAACTGCTTTAAACAAATTTCACACTTATGAGGTTTTTCTCCAGTGTGAGTTCTGAAATGTATTTTTAAATTAAATGCTGTACCGAACTGCTTAAAACAAATTTCACACTTGTAAGGTTTTTCCCCAGTGTGCAATCTCAAATGTTTTTTCAAATTACTAGTTTCAATAAACTGTTTGAAACAAATATCACACTTGTGAGGTTTTTCTCCAGTGTGGGTTCTAAAATGTATTTTTAAGCCAAATGCTGTACCAAACTGCTTAAAACACATTTCACACTTGTACGGTGTTTCTAAACTGTGTATTACTGAATGAGTTTTTAATAGACTGTCTGTAGAAAACTGCTTTAAACAAATTTCACATATGTAAGTTTTTCCTAAAATGTGTATTGCTGAATGAATTTTTAACTGACTTTTTGTAGAAAACTGCTTTAAACAAATTTCACACTTGTGAGGTTTTTCTCCACTGTGCCTACGCAAATGTGTTTTTAAATTACTTTTATCAGTAAACTGCTTTAAACAAATTTCACACTTATGAGGTTTTTCTCCAGTGTGTGTTCTCAAATGAATTTTTAAAGTAAATGCTGCACCAAACTGTTTAAAACAAATTTCACATTTGTGAAATTTTTCTCCAGAATGCGTTCTCAAATGTGATTTTAAATAACTTATTTTAGTGAACTGCTTTAAACAAATTTCACACTTATGAGGTTTTTCTGAACTATGTATTACTAAATGGGTTTTTAAAAGACTTTTTGTAGTAAACCTTTTTAAACAAATTTCACACTTGTAAGGTTTTTCTGAACTGTGTTTCATTGCTGAATGAGCTTTTAACTGACTTGTTGTAGTAAACTGCTTTAAGCAAATTTCACACTTGTAAGGTTTCTCTCCACTGTGCATTCTCAAATGTGTCTTTAAATTACTTTTATCCGTAAACTGCTTTAAACAAATTTCACATGTGTGAGGTTTTTCTCCAGTGTGAGTTCTCAAATGTGTTTTTAAATTAAATGCTGCACGAAACTGCTTAAAGCAAATTTCACACTTGTGAGGCTTTTCTCCAGTGTGAGTTCTCAAATGTGTCTTTAAATTACTTTTATCAGTAAATTGTTTTAAACAAATTTCACATTTAAGAAGTTTTTCTAAACTGTGTATTACTGAATGAGTTTTTAACTGATGGGCTGTAGTAAATTGCTTTAAACAAATTTCACACTTGTAAGGTTTTTCTAAACTGTGTTTCATTGCTGAATGAGCTTTTAATTGACTTGTTGTAATAAACTGTTTAAAGCAAATTTTACACTTGTGAGGTTTTTCTCCACTGTGCATTCTCAAATGTGTCTTTAAATTACTTTTATCTGTAAACTGCTTTAAACAAATTTCACATGTGTGAGGTTTTTCTCCAGTGTGAGTTCTCAAATGTGTTTTTAAATTAAATGCTGCACCAAACTGCTTAAAACAAATTTCACACTTGTAAGGTTTTTCTCCAGTATGCATTCTCAAATGTGTTTTTAAATTACTTTTCTCAGTAAACTGCTTTAAACAAATTTCACACTCGTAAGATCTTTGGCCGCTCATAATTTTCATATTTGTATTTAATATTTTTTCTTTAGAATGCTGACCTGTATATTGTTCTTTATGAGATGAATGTAACATTTCCATGATTTTCATTGTATTCTCTTCCTGGGAACAACCTAAAATACAAACCAACCATAAATATTTTATTGGAATGGGAAAATTATTGCAGAAGTAAAGGGTCATAATAAATAAAGTAAACTTATAGCTCAAGTTGACCTTTCTAAGTTTATTCCAACCTTCGATCTCTTTCCTTATAGCTAACTGCCAGTTGGCAAGCTCAGTGTGTACTGCTTTTTCCTCTTATGTCAAAAAGCTATCAGGTCACCAATTAGAGACAGCACCTTGTTGTCAAACTTATTAACACTTATTGCGATGAAGGAACTGTAATTGAATTGTACTGCTCAGTTTTATATATTGCAAAATATTATTTGATTAAATTATACTTTAAGTTTCATTCAATTATTTAACTAATTATTATCATTAATAAAATATTCGCAGCTCCACTTGTATGATGCTAGCATATGCTTGTTTAATATCTGGTGTAATGTTTTGTTGTATTCCTTCATTGTTTTTCAATTTTTAATTTTAAGAGACTCATTTGCCATCAAAATAGTAAATTCTTTTTAGTCTTCTTTCCTTTTCCCACAGTGGTTTATATGCTATGAACTTTTAATTATTTCTCACAATGTTTCAACATTATTTTAATTTTCTATGTATCTTAAACAAGTCTGCCATGCTCCTCGGTATTCAAGCAAATTGACTTTTCCCTTCCTACCTTAGCATTCAAATTTCCCATAAATATCTCGTTTAGATAAAGCTGTAAGCAACGTTTTCAATTGATCATAAAAGGTATTGTTGATTCATAGTTGAGTCATCCTTTTCTTCGGCTACTGCATGAAGTGATAATATTAAAATGTAGCATATCCTTCCTCTAAACTTCATGAAACAATTTTTTTTATTTACTGGATAAAATTCATGTAAATTGTTGGGGCTACCACTACAGAAAATACTTTACTGGATAAAATTCATGTAAATTGTTGGGGCTACCACTACAGAAAATACTATCAGTTTGAGTACATCTTGGTTTCTGGTATCACTTCACGTAATTTCCTGATCCACTCAGAAATCAATTTCATTTTTTTCTAGTTGATCTATTGTTTTTTCACTGCTGGAGGTGTGTGTCAACTTAACACATTCACAGTTCCAATATCCAGGTCCTTATTTGTTGCCATGGTTGTCATTGTATATCTGTTCCATTCTGAGGCATCTCTTTGGTTTTTGTAATTAGAAGGTATTTTACAAGGCCAGGCTCTTCACCCTAAGCTTAACCCCATTTTCAGATAACCATTTCTCCCTTTCTCATCTGCCCTGACCTACTGTCCATTGGAATTAGTTACCCAATCTCCAGTAGGGTTGCTCAGATTCATCATAGTCACCCCTGTCATTGTGTGTGCAACTATGCCCATTCTGTTTAGTAGATTAGTGTTACTACTATGTAGGTATATCACAGATATACCTAGCTGATAGTGATCAACACAGAAGTTGGTAACACCAATACATTTTATTTAAACTTTATAGAAAATGAAACTTTTTGGTAAAGTACCTAAAATATTTACTAATACCCACAAAATTTGAAGACATGTGACTGTTCCATTTACACTTAAAATCAAATGTTTACAAAATAATAACTTCTATGTAATGTAAAATTAGATACAATATCTATGCTACTGTTCAGTAGAATATCACCAAATTACTACCATTATAAGAATGATGATTGAGGACTGGTCATTGCTTGACAAGATCACATTTACATAAAATCAACATTAACAATAATCCATACTATGAATGCTGACAAATGAAAACATATTACATATTTTGGGACTGCCCAATAAATAAAATAAAGGATTATGATGTCTATCAGGAACTGATCAAAATTGATATTGTTCAATATTAATCTACCAATGCTTCTATATGATATTAATCTGCCCCAATATTAATATTTAAACCACTTATAAGCTCACATCGAACGATTAGATTAAACAAAATAGAACATTATATCTCGGACTCACGATAGTGGCCCTAAACTTTAATTAATACCCAGTTTAAGAAAACAAATGTACTTTTCTACTTACTTTCTTTAGTTGTTGCTTGCTTTTCTTCAAATAGTGTAAATTTATATTCATCTTGTTTTACTTCGTTATTTACGGGGAATTCTTTTAAATAATCAAATGCATCGGATGCTGTTTCTGTCTTGGGTTCTTCCTTAATTTCAATTTTGAGAGCATTCAATGGACTATCATATGTTTCTACTTTACAAGTTTTCTCACTAGCTTCTTGCTTTATTTCCATATTATTCATTTTGAATTTATTTGTCAAAAAAATCACTATAAATAAATTTTAAGATTTCTGTTAGAATCGATCTCCATCTCCATCCATATTAAAATATTCTGCGTTTGCGCATCCACATGCTACCAGCGAGCGACCATAACTTATTCTCAGTGGCGTAGCGATGTGTAGTAAATCTTATAGGGGGTGGCGGTTTCATTAATCTAAGGGTGCAAAAATAATATAAAAATAGACAGCCGTTGATTATCAACGTCTGTTTTGCCTTGCAATTCTTAGAAGGCACAGATTAAAGCAAAAATCTGAATTGGTTTCGAAAATTATTTTACGGATTTAATATCAGATGTCGCTATTTGCGTCCATACGAAGCAATGTTAGAGTTGCTTCCTAAGACAGAAGAGATTTATTTTCACGTTCAGAGCGACTATGAATTGCCGTTCTGATGAAACCTATTAGGCTGAAATACAAGGTTTCACAGATTCACTCTCATGCAAATTTCCAACGCTGACCGTGCGTATAGAAGTATCACTTCAAATAGTTTTATCAAAGAATATAGACGCTTATAGAAGAACAGTTCAAATGGGTGATTTGGTTACGGTTTATACTTCAAAACACTTCTGGCAGTCGGCTTAAAAGTACCATGAAAGATGTAGTTAGGGGAAAGTGGGAAAGGAGTCTTACGAACGGAGCTATTTAACTTTGCATCTACGTTTAAACATATTTCGATGCTTTTTTTTTGTTTTTTTCTCAATAAAATGTTTATTTTTAATATATTAAATTGTTAAATTTTGAAATTTAAAAAGGTATTATATTTACAATATTCAAAAGCATTTATTTTTAAAATTTTATAACTTTGAATTAAATATATGTTATAAATAATGGAATAGGTTTGTTTCAACCACAGAATAATAAACAAACAGAATGCCCACTCTCCACGGAAAATTAAGTACGCGCATCTCCTTCGCGCAGACGTTCCGCCATGTTTTACGAGGATTTTAAAGGGAACCAGTGTTGTTTATGTGGTGTGCATGGAAAAAAAAAACAGGTTTATTTGACTTACGGCAATCATAGACATACTATACAATTATATTAACAGTTTTAAATATAATAACATAAATATAATATAATTAAACATAAATGTAAACAATTGCATAACCTCACAAATCATATGTTTGTGTCCTCCTAAAACATGGCGCGCGTGCTGAAAAACTTCAAAGGCGGTATCTGAGAGTGGCCCTTCTGATTGTTTATTATTCTGTGGTTCCAACCATCGAGCAAAAAGATAAAAGAGGGAATCTAATCGTTATGAAAAGGAGACCAAAAAAGTGGCCTCTGATGGCGGACATATCCGGAAATGCAAAGGCGCTAAATTTAAATTTTCCAACACTTATTAACAATAGCTATAAAATATTTTTCAGACGAGAAAGTTTTAATTAAATATTAACTGTAATAGTCTAAAAGTGACACAATTGGTAAAAAACTTCAATATAAATAAAATTTCATGTGACAGTTGGGACAAACAATAACATAACCAAACTAAATTTGACTTCTCAAACAAGGAAAGAGACTGTCTTTCCTTGTCTAAAGTGGCCTCTCAAGATGGCACTTCCTGTCTATCAATATGTTTACCCCTTCTACCTTTACATTCCCTCTTTTGTCTTATTGCTCGATGGTTCCAACACAACGAAAAACCGTCACATAAATTTTTATTATACTGTTTTTCTGCCCAAAAATTACCGAAATGTTTTTTAAAAATTTCTTGTAAGGCTTTTCTCCAGTGTGCACTCTCAAATGTGTATTCAAATAATTTTTGTGAGAAAACTGCATTAAACAAATTTCACACTTGTGGGGTTTTTCACCAGTGTGCGTTCTCAAATGTTGTTTTAAATTACTTTGATCACTAAACTGCTTTAAACAAATTTCACACTTAAGGTTTTTCTCCAGTGTGAATTTTCATGTGTTGAGATAAATAATCTTTTCGAGAAAATTGCTTTAAACAGATTTCGCACTTGTAAGGCTTTTCTCGACTGTGCACTCTTGTAATAATCAGAGGCGACTCCGCTGTCACCACTGTAAAGTAATAAGAATGGGAGCGTTATGTGAAGGTAAGGAAAACGCTGTCACCAAATGTAATACACAGTAGATCCTCAAGGGATGCTAACCCTGCGAGCGGCTGCAAGGAATACTGGTCACACTGGTCTGGAGGGCTGGCTCGTCTTCGTGGATTTACGAGAAGATAAGGGATTTCGGGATAGGGGTAAGGACTCCTAGGTCTCAGGTCCTGTAAAGAGCAGAGGTTATGGGCTTACTTTTGAAGCCGGAGATATGCATACGCAGAACCTCGTGTTCTCCTAGTCTCTAGTGAGTCCGACGAAAGGAACATTAAAAAAAAACCAAATTAGAGTCAACAATATATTGAATCTACCCTGAAGTTACTAATACAATCGTTAACACTTTATTCTGCGCGTCGGGAGATGATGAAGCAAGATAGTGAAGAGTTGACAGTTGTACTAATATAATTACACAGGTTAGTATAAAGAAATCTGTTACCTTATGTGTATATTAGGGCTTTCAACCACGACACGTTCAGTCTTCTGGAACTCGGTCAGTTGAGGGTTGCGAACTTTCGAACTGCTACAATAACCGGACTACACGCGATACTATGCCAGATGATACGCGTCCCCCGGAGAATCACCGACTGTCTCGCGTACTGGACGCTCCCGGAGGCAATTACTGCCTCGGGCAGTCACAGCTGCCCCGCTACTACGGACTACTCATTACTAACTGTCTTATACCCGACGCTACCGCGTCGACCCGGCGCGGCGCCTGGCAATACTGCCTGAACGGGCAGTCACGGTGCCCCCGTTATCACTACTGACTCGATTGACCAAGTTTTCTAGTTTTTAAATGTCCTGCAAACATTCGTAGTTTTGTTTTTGTTATTTCTGCTGTCCTATTTCACGTGTTGGAATGTAACATGCGACATGTAACATGTGTTGCTTCGTTGTATTACTTTTTATGAAGGTCTTCGGATTTCGTAATTCTTAAACATTCGTGCTTGTATCAAACTAGGTCAAATTGTTATACTTTGTATAATTTAAATGTATAAGTTAACTGTATTAATTATCCCTTATTTAATTCGGAATATATAATAATTATCTCGAATAATTATTATCTTTTCTATGCTATTTAGCCATTTATTACAACTTCTCACTCACTTGCTACGCTCACATTACACTCTCAAATGTATTTTTAAATTTCCTGATTCAGTAAAGTTCTTAAAACAAATTTCACACTTGTAAGGCTTTTCTCCAGTGTGCAATCTAAAATGTGTTTCCAAATTACTCTTTTTGTTAAATTGCTTTAAACAAATTTTACACTTGTAAGGGCGTTGTCCAGTCGCAATTGTTATATTTTTATGTAATAATTTTTCTTCAGTGTGTTGATCTGTATATTTTCTTTTATGAGATGAATGTAACGTTTCCATGATTTTAATTCTATTCTCCTCCTGGGAACAACCTAAAATACAAACCAACTTTAAACATTTTACTGGAACGAAAAAATTATTGCAGAAACAAAGGGATTTAATAAAGAAAATTATAGATAAGTTGACCAAAAACAGAATGTTTTGAAAACGGTATTCCACAGGGCTCAACCTTAAGCCCCACTTTATTTTTAATAGCAATTAATAATATCGCTCAAGAGATCTACCTTTGAAAGCAGATCTGTATGCAGATAACTTAGTTGTATATACTAGTAGCTGCAATATTACACTAGCCTCAAAAATTTTGCAATCATTTCTGTATAAACTAGAAAACTGTTCCCAAAAGACTGGTTTTACGTTCTCAGGTGATAAATCTCGTTTCATCGTATTCAATAAAAGAAAAACTGATTGCAAAACAACACTTACTCTAAATGGTATCAACCTAAAACAAGTAGAGAGCATTGACTTTCTTGGCCTGAGACTGGACAGTCAGTTAACATGGGCAGAACATATTAAAAAGCTAGTCGTATCCTGCCAATCTAAAATAAATCTCCTTAAAATGCTATCAAACCGATCTTGGGGAGCGGACACCATAAAATTGCTGCATATATACCAATCATTAATCCGAAGTAAACTGGATTATGGTGCAATATGCTATTCAACTGCGAGTAATTATATACTTAAAAAATTAGACATTATACAAAACACATGTTTAAGACTAATTCTGGGTGCTTACCGAACTAGTCCTATTTCAAGTTTTCAGGTTATCCTAGATGAATCTCCCCTATCAATACGAAGACAACACATTTCTTTAAATTATGTCGCGAGATTGTCTTCCAACCCTAATAACACAAACTATCCACTTCTTTATAAAATATATCCACCTACTCAGTGCCATCAACAAATTAAATATCCACCCCTTAAAGAACGTTTAACGAGATATGGTTTTGACATGGAGCAGCTGACACATTCTTACCCTACACAACGAACTATACCTCCCTGGACTATAAATTTTCCCACTATTGATCTATCCCGCACGGCCTATCCAAAGAGTACCACAAATCCCATAATCATTAACAAATTATATGAAGAACGGATATTAGAATACACTGGCCATAACAAGATTTTTACCGATGCGTCAAGAACTGAAAACGGACACGCAGCGGCCTTTATTCTAGGAAAGTCTGAATATGCAGTTCGCATCCCTCAATTCTGCAGCATTTTCACGGGAGAAGCAATCGCCATTTTAAAGGCTTTTAAAGGCAGGAAATGAAAAAGTAGATGAATTAGCAAAGAAAGCTGCTACTGACGAGCAAACTGAAATTATGACTACAATTCGATTCAGTGATATCCAGCTCAATAATAAACAGCACTGTGTAAGAAATTGGCAACAAATGTGGAATTCTAATAAGGCTAACCTTAAAAACGTGAAAACTAGGATTGGTACTAAACTACAATTTCCAGAAAACAGAAGGCAACAAGTGATTATAAACCGACTAAGAATTGGACATACAGCGTTAACTCACCAGCA